AAGTTACTATATTTAAAGAACAGTATTTACAACCACCAGGCACTTGCAGTGGTGACAACAACACTGCGATTCACGACGCCCGACGTTCGTAACTACCCCCCGTCGTAAAGAGGAGAGGAAAGCCCAACCCTCGCGCCAGTCACCAAGGATTCGATTTTCCTCCAAGTATTTCCTTCAAACTTTGGAGGAAAGGATAGTAGATCTCGTCCACAGTGGTTGGAAACAAAATCCGTACTCCCCGATGAAAGTTTTTTATTCGCGTTCAGCCCCCGACATAGAAATGAGGAAAAAAACAAAAACCGCTCTACATTATAAAATATAACATATATAATATACGGAATGGAAATGGAAACACACGACAAACCCAGAGCACCTGGGCAAAAGTCGACAAATTGATTTTATTGTTACCATACGTTAAATTTATTAAAATTGGACGAGAATAAACCCCCACCTGGACGTGTAGGAGATTCCCCCCCGGAGTGTGCTTATTAAGCTTTTTAAAACGTATGTGGTAAGTTGCCAAAGTGCTTTGTTTTGAACGTTCATCAGTATTATAATCAAAAAGAGAAATATGAACGTTAGTTTTTACTCAAATTATCAAATAAAGTCAACATTTCACTGAGCTGTGTGGGGTTTGTTCAACTTTTAAAATATGTTTGAATGGTGATATACACAGTGATAGATGTTAAGGACTAACGTTTATAATAAATACATTTGTATTTATTTTAAGATCTTTTCATACAATCATACGTATTGGGATCATTTGTATTAATGTGGACCGGAGGGAGAGGGTGACGAGCATAAGTTTCACTTTCCTTTTTATTTAAATTCCAACTTTGGTCATGAAGAATATGTTTCTCTGTTGTCCACGTTCATAAAGCATAAAACAACAGCATCAGAGCACGGTGCAGAATCTAGATGAGTCCCTCGTTCTTATTATACATCCATGTTGTCCGTTGTATAGAACACTGTAGTTTCCCCACAGCAGCAGACGCATATTTATGACATCCACTGGCGCATCATAAACACGTCGGATAGTGAAAGTGCATTCTCTAAAGTACCGCAGTCTCTTCTCCTAAGTCCTTTTGAATTCTCCTATCCACTATCCCTTAACCCCGTGACGTTTCACTCAGAGGTCAAGGAATAGACGATAGGGTTAGAACTTAGGAGCTGATTTTTGGACTATTCGACTGCAGCCTAATGCTGACGGAGAGCACCGGATGCTTTTAGTTCAGTGCTTCTCAAAGTGTGGTCCGCGGAGTATATTGGTAACATTTCACATTTTAAATAAATAAATACATTTAAGTTTTCCGCACTCTCGCGGGAATATCTCCAATGGAGCGAGCTTAAGTTTGACTTTCGATTGCATGATATAGCCCAGATAAACACCTTCATCACCCATGTTGCCACTTGTTTGTACCATTTTCAGGCGATTTGTAAAAAACGATGTGTTTTTGGATATTTGTGGAGTTAGGTGGTCCGCGAGTGTTTTTTTATTGGTTAAGTGGTCCTTGGTATGAAAAAGTTTGAGAAACACTGCTTTAGTTGAAAGCCCAGAGGCGATCTGTTCATCTGTAATACTGATCATACAGTCAATAACTTTGTTGTTATTAGCATCTGGTTAGCTAGCTATGCTAATGAATATGTGAGGTAAAGGCACATCTTTATGATAATTATAGTTATACAAAAATAAGAGAATAAAGGAAAAACAGGTATAAAATACTATGACAGTAAAAAGAAGTTGTTAATAAACAAGAATACAGTTTGAAAAGTGAGTGATTTGTAAAATATTCATAAAGAAAATCTTCTTACAGTTCTGTTTCATATGGGTGTTGAGAGATGTGTCCATATATCTCCTAATGTTGCTCTCAAAGTGCACCAGATGGATGCTTTTAACTTCCACATTTAAAAAAGATGTTACGTTAAGATATCTGGATTAAGAGGTTGCTTTTTCTTTGCACAGCATGAAAGAAAGGCGAAATGAATGGGCTCTGATTTTAGTTTTTTTAAGCAGAGGTCGAGTTCAATATTTTGTACGGCCCTCGGAGGATGTTGTAAAAGTTGAAATGGGCCCTTGAGAGGAAAAAGGTTCCCCACCCCTGGTCTAAGGGATAGAGTAGTTTTACAAAATAATCTAAACTCAAGTTCCACTTAATAGTTTTTTCCAGGGCTTTGAGTCTTTTGAAAGCACAGGAAACGTAGTAGGCGACCTTGAGTTCAGTAAATGTAATGTCACTTATCCTTGTTAGCACTGCACTGACTTAAACATACTGTTTTCTTGTCCCAGTGAAGAGTCGTAAACCATCTTTGGGAGACCTGATCCTTCGCCACACCAACAGCCCGACCCGGGCTCGGCACGCCGCCCAGCTGGCCCTCGCTCACGTACGGGACGGCAGCCAATCACTGCACAGCGCTCTGTTCAGAGGAGGTGGAGGCGGAGGGGCGTCTGGCCTGGAGAAGCAAGCTGAGGCACTGCGAGTGAAGAACGCCGTCTACTGTGCCGTCATCTTCTGTGAGTTCCTCAAAGAGCTGGCTGCCCTGGCTCAAGAGCACGCAGTCACTCTGCCTTTCCCCCAGGGCCAAGAGACGGAGGAATAGAAGGTGAACTTTAACCTTTCAGATTTAGCTCTTAGCCTCTTTTTCTTCTGTAAAAGAGTTAGATACGACTCTCCCCTTTCCAGAGGACGGACTGGAGCACTGAGACTTTCCTGTCACTGAAGTGGGTCGTCTGCAATGACTAAAGGCAGGATAAAAGAACTGCGTTTTTGTACCTAAACGGTTATAGGATACCTATATGACTGGAAGAAGTTCCCTCATCTGTAAACTTATATGATATTGTGCATATCATTTATTATATTTACATTCTATAAATAGAAACAATCTCAGTAATGGCTTGAGATTTAGAAGCTTGTACATACACATACCATGTCATGGTATAATGTGACGCAGTAAAGCCACAGATAAACGAAATAGAAGAACATATTGGTGCTAGTCTCTTTATGTTTTAGGTTGAAAGGGTGCTTTCAGGCGGCACAGAGGAGAAGAAAGTTTTGTCCTCAACAAAATCATAAAAAACCAACACCAAAAAAATGTTTGACAGGAAATCATTGAAAGTGTAGATCCATCAATCCATTACAAAGTGATGGAATCAGCTTTGGCCATCTCTGTACGACACAGCTTGGCTCATGTCCTCTGTCAAGGACCGGCATATCGAGAAAGCTCACAGAGAAACGGTTAATCTTCCTAACGGCATCTCAATGTCCATTATCTGCACTGCTGCAAAGACTGGTCATCAATGAACGAGATGAAAGCTGGAGCACACAGGTGAGGGAGAGTGCTGCTTTCTCTCCCATGAAGCAGTGCGGCCAACACAAATGTACTGGAAATCTTTGGGTAGTGAAAACCATTTTTTAATAATATGTTTTAAACGTTTGTCTTTTGCACCATTTTATAGACATATCAACAATGTTTGGGAGTAAGTGTGTCTGTGTGTGTGTGTGTGTGTGAGTGAGGGTTTATTTGACATTTTTTGAATGACTCCTTTCCAAAAGGTGACGCCAACCCTTCAGGCCATCAATAAGCCATTCACCTGTTGCCATAAAGGAGGCTGTGTGAATGAAAGGCAGCGCTGCTTTCAAATTCATACCTGGAGTGTGTCATTTAGTCTTTTTAAAAGACCTGCCAGAAGAAAAGCAAGAAGGGAAAAGATTTTTCTAGGGAGCACCATATATAACTTACTTTGAACTGGCATTTGTCCCTCATGAGGCATTCACTGACACTTCTTAGCACATTACATTTCATGAAGCTTATACCAAGAAATGTAAGTTTTCCGTTCTTAATTTCTAAATATTTTCTCTTGGATGAAACAGGCCAAAATGAAACGTAACATGCTGCTATTTTTTTAACACTAAAATCCATTTCATTCTTCCCATAGCTACCGTCTTTTCATTTTATTGTTAGGTACCAAGTATAAATGTGCATGTGAGGATGTGCCAGTGTTGTGATCGGCATTTTATTTATTTTATTAAGAAGTTGAATGAAGTTGCAGTCAAACAGTGTTAGAAGCATTTGCCAAGATGAAATGATTATAATAATTCTCTCAGCGTTCTTTGGAAGTTTTTTCTTTTTATGAGATTCTAATGCTTGATTTTACAGGTCTTTTATTTCATTCATACCATTTTCTGTAACAACTCAACAGCCTATGGGGAAATGATAAGGAAATGAAGAACCTGTAAAAGAAAGCATTACTTGTGTGACTGTTTAATTTGATCCCTTTTTGTGATTTAAATTAGTTTACTGCACATTCTCGCCATTCTCTCGACTTTCAGCAGTAAAGAAGCTTCTGGAAGTGTCTGCCATCCTGCAGAATCTTTGAAATTGAACACCACATTATGTTTTCCCCTGAACAAGTTGAGGCCCTGTCAGCTTTTCAAAGCCATACCCATGTTTGTAAATGAAGTCCTTTATGATGCTGTCACTCACTTTTCTATGGAATTTCTAGACACATTTCGTAACACCCTCCAGTTTTAATACCATTAGTTAAGAGTTTCTGCATGCCAGTTAAGGCAAGATTCATAAATAAATAAAAATATAGTGAAAAATAAGTTTTCTTTGGTTTGTGCGATAGTGCTGAGCTGAAATGAGCTTCCATACTGTAGGTTTTAGTGGTAAGTGCTTCATCCCAGCGTTTCACACTGAATGTTTGCATTTGTTAATTAAATTGATAGAGAAAAACCGTCTGTACTTTATCCACTGCCATTCATCATTCCATCTATTACCCAGTCGGGTTAATGTTTCCCTTGCACAGATTAAAAAATAAATAGGCCAGAGGGTCTAAAGTTCCCTCACCGGGTTCCTCTACGTTTACACTCAAGATTGTGTTTTTGACTAAACTATTTTTACAAAATCTTCTGTTTAAATGTGTGTCAAATGTTCTCAAAACTTGAACTTACTTGGTCAGTGTCACATTGTTACTAATGTGTTTCAGTGAGTTTTCTGTTTAAATTCATGGACACCAAAGACGATCTCTCTGACAACATTGAAAGTCCCACTGTCTCTGTGAAGAGACAATTTAATACAATTTAAAGTAACAGTTAAATACAAGGGAAATATTATTAGACAGCAACATTGATACAATTGTATTTATCAAGTGTGGTGGAGCGAAAAAGATAGAATTGACAGCCAAACCTGTGAAAATGAGACCAAAGCTAACTGTTGTCCCTGAAAAGAGATATCTACCAGCTGAAGCTCTTTGGACAGGGCCAGTGTGTTTATGAGACTTTGACGTCATTAAGAAATAGAAAGCACGAGATGCAAAACTGAAATGGTTGGCATTGGTCCCATTTGACTGATTTGATTTTAATCATGTACTCATGTCTACACTCCTTGCAGTCATTGTTCACTGTCATTTCAATATTTAGTTGTATATAAATTAAGATCACAAAGACATGAAGTGTGCTTTTTGGCCAGCCAGGAATATTTCCCCAGGCTGACAGAAGACAGACTTAAAACAGGCAGTTTGGTGAACAGGATGGAGGCTGTGTGGTTAATGTGATGGATTACCTCACTTCGTGGAAGTTGTTTTTTACACTCCACATGAACGGCAGCAAATAGCTTCCTCTGCTGGAAGAGAAGTGAGACCTCCAGCTGTGTTGGCACCAGTAGGGGACTGTGGGCGACAGCCTGTTAAAAACACAAATGCAGGTAGTGATGACAATTCTGGAAAGGGATTTAGTTTTTTGAATATGCAGTAATTACGACAGCTGGATGCTGAAGCAAATGCAGAAATGTCTTTAAGTGCAGTTCCTTTAATGGCCACCACAAACTGTCACAAATACATTTTACTGTAACGAGGTGACGAGAAAACCAAATTGATTAACTCTTTAAAAAGTAGATAAATTGTGCTAAGTTTGTGATGTGCTGTGGTGGTAGCCGCTCTACTCAGACGGTTTCGTTTTTCCTGACTCAATTTAGCAACAAAGATGGAGGTGAGAGGTAAACCTAAAGCTGAGCTGCAGAAAATGTTGTCATGTCACAGATTGTGTTATTTGTTTCCTGCTGTCTTTGTTCCAGACAGATGTACCAGAACACTACAATGTGCGTGTCAGATCTAAAAATAGAATCAGATAATTCACATTCACAGTTGTTTAGTTAAATTCAGTGCATGTTTTTTATTTCATACAGTCTGTTCACAGCAAACCAAAGTCTTCAATTGTCAATGAATTTAATTTGAATCAGAACTGTGCACTGTTGTTCCTTTGCCCTCACAAGGTTTCCACTTTACAGCACGTTTCAGTTTCCAATGCACACACAGTTATTCTATTACTGTCAGTGTTTTTGACTGTATGACTAAAGACATTCAAAATGTATTGGGTATATCCAAAGGGACTCGCCTGCTGCTTAGGAATTTGTTTTCACAGCTGAATTAGCATCATGTATACATGTTTTCAAATTGATTTGTGTTAATGTGTTGACTTGCTAATCACAAGATGTACAGCATCTTCTCAAATGTATTTTTCTTTTAAAAGCTTAAACTTTTCCCGCCTGTTAGATTTCTCCCCTGTGATCTATGCAAACATGCTCTAGTTCCCCCCTCCCCCATCCCCCCTGTGAGGCTGAACGATGATGTGGACTGATCAAAATGTGTAAATACTGTAAAAAGAGGAATGGGTCAAAATGCCCAACATGACAGAATGAAAATCATGCTAAAAATAATGTACTGATGAATGTTGTCAGAAATATTTTTCTATATTTTGAAATCATTAGAAAAAACGACAAATACAAAGTGGGGAAAAGCTGTCATACGAAACACTACAAAGGGAATGTTTTTATTAATTTATAAATTCTTTGCCTAGCAATATTGCGTTTGTCCTGGTGTCGTTTCTGTATCGTCTTCTAACTGTATGTCCATGTAACATCATATCTCCAGTATGTTTAAACAGAGGTTCCTGACTTTCTTTTGGCTTGTGCAATAAGCAACGTCTGCTTCTCAACATAGATTAAGCATGTCTGAAGTGTGGACAGAAGTTCAACCAATTCAAGAGGAATTTTCTGTTAAATTGTAACAATGTCTTAGAGCACCTAACCAGTATAGATATTAGAAATATATATAATTTGGAGTTATAGAAGTATCTGATTATGTTGTCAACCACTGTAATAAAAGACTTGATAAAGACTTAACTTACACAAAAAAAACTAAAAGTTAACGTGCAGTTAACATAATCACATAGTCATTAAGTTTGATTCAGGGAGCTGGAGCGTATTCCAGCCTGTATTGAGCAGGTTTACTTGTTTACACATCCTTGATGTATTAACCCTGAGCCGTATCACCTGGTTTTGAGCAACAGGTTAACTGAGAGAATCAAAGAAACTCATCTATAAAACTGTGGGGAAAACTTCTGAAGCAATTGGAAACAGGACTCAGAGAGGCATGGGGAGAGCTGGAGCTTTGATGGCAAACACTGACGGTTTATTTGAAGTTACGGCCGGAGAATTCACAAGACAGGTGGTGTGTCACGAGTTGACACAGCGGTTGCCAAACCAATTCTGAAGAACTCTTCTGCAGCTCCAGGTTTGAACTAGTTCGGAGTGTAATAATTAACATTCTTTATCAGTGAGACTAAACAATTATGGACCCTGAATCTAACTAGAGCTCTCGTCCATATGAGAGAATGTGCGCCAGGGAACCTACGTCCCTGAAAAGTAAACTACCTCATGGCGGCTTGTGCTCTGTCATAGACTGGCAACAACAATGCGCCCAAGCTGCCCCTCCTTAAGAGAGATGGCAGCAATATCCAAGGCCGTAGACCTATGCCATGGGAAAAGAGACAGTAAAGAGAGAAAACGATGAACTGGGTGGAAGGTTGAATACCTAAGCAAATTATTCCCTAACAAAAACCATAACCAGGTTTCAAATCTGTGGCTGCCATGTGTGTAGGACGAATCTTCACAATGCTCAAAAGAGCTATACATACATATTTTAATAAGCAATGTAATGGCATCTTCATGTGGTAATGTTTTTATAATTCTGTTCAATCTTGTGCTCATCTTCCATAACTGATGAAGAAATGGATAAGGAAACAGCAGTGATAAACGCAGCAGTGTCCAAGCAACCAACACCAGAGTGTGTTCATGGAACTGGAGTCAGTGCAGAAAGGACAGCTGCTGGATTTCCTGTGAAACACAAACCTGCACGGTTCATCACACAATTATAAACCTGCATGATGCTCAGAGCTTCAATTATCACACGAGCAATCCATGACAAATATATTTGATAGTGATTTACAATTTTAAGGCATTTTTAAGAAAAGCTAAATATTCCATATTCCAGCTTCTCCAGTGTTAGACACTTTTTGTGTTTTGTGTATGGGTTTTATATAACCATGAATTTAGGCATATTTCATTATTGTCTGGTGACCAAACGATTAATCAAGATAACTATTAAGGTCGAAAAAGGAAATTAATCTGCAACAATTCTGATACAAGTTAGTTAGAATACATTTTTCAAACAAAAGTTAATCGGTTTCATTTTATGAAATGTTTATATTATAAATATACATAAATATCTTTGGGTTTTTGAGATAAAAGGAGACATCACCATACAGTCTATGAACTTATGATCTTTGACCATTTTTACTATTCACTCACATTTTATGGACCAAACATTAAATGGGGAAATAATCCGTAAACAAACTAATAAGGTCAATAATTTTTAGTTTCAGCCCAATTTACATTTGACAACCAAACCTAGAAATGATTGTCCCATGCACATGTCCAAGTGAACTCCTTATAAACCAGAACAAGAGCACTTCATGTCTACACAAAGCTCATAGGTGTATTTCATAACGTAACGAGGTGTCGCTTCCTCAGGTGGTTTGTGTCCTCAATACATTTGCTCCCCACTCTTGACTCTTATTACACAAAGTGGTATTTCTCTAAAACACAGCAGCAGGATTCCAAGTAAACTATGAAGTCTACAAATTGAAGACCAAGGCAGATATCCATTTTGGATGCACCGTCTGAGTTTGCGTGCAGAGGAAACTGGAGTCAGCTTGGTGGTCTCCTAGCAACAGCTAACAAGAGGGGAAACAGCGCAGAGGAAGGGCCAGAGGTTGATGGTTAAAGTGAGCGAGAGTGGAGATGTGCTGAAGAAGAGCAGAGCATGGGGTCGTAGCAGCGCTGCTACCTGACGACAGGTAAGACACTGCAATGGTGTTCCTTTTTTCTACCAAATCATCATTCAATTGTTTTCTTATAAAGTATTATTTGATTGAGAACTCTTAAAGTTCATTTGCATTTAAAAAAAAACTATAACATGACGCGCTAAAATGTTACAATATATTTTGAGTACTTCTAAAGATTAGTCTTGAGTTTTGAGAAGCATGTGTTATGGTTACACTGGTTTGCTCATTGGTTATTTTCCAAATGTGACCCAGTTATCCCAGTTACAAGATGAGAAACTGGACCCTCCTCATCTATTATGTAGTTTGGTAATTTGAGTGGAAACCTGCTCTGTGACACAAATAGAGGGGACTGGCATAGTGCCTCAGACACACACAAGTATTAAAACGAGCAGCTCATATGAAGAATAGGAATTGCTTAATTAGTAATGGGTTGAGTAACTTATACCGCACAGAAGACTCACAGTGGGCTACTTGAAATATTCATACCCCTGATACAAATGCCACACTAATTCATTCATATCAAATATGCTCCCTCAACTATCAATGGCCTTAACAGCACCATGTTAACCCTAGTGATGGGTATCCATGCTAACAAGCTACAGAGGAGGCCCCAACACTTTAACCAGAAAACCCTTTTTTTAAAGTCTATTTCCCCCAATACTAAACTAAATCAACAAATAGACAACACGCTAAACCGGACATGAATCACAAAAAAATATACTGAATCACGACTTACCCACACTGTGACTTAAAGACATCCACGCCGCACATTCAAGCCATCATATCCAAACTCAGCGTTGACACTATCTATAAAGTGATGTCACCGAAAAGGGAACATTTAAAAATAAATTAGCTTCACTAGAAGCTTTTATGTCAATCCAAGTGCAAAGCATAAAGCCAACCGTGATTGAAATGATTGCCTATATGCCTTGCACAATTATATTAAAGTAAAAAGAAAACTTCGCCACCAGAATAACCATTTGTGCATCAATAACTCGTACCATTGACATTTGTTTTCCTTCAACATGGAAGCCTGCAAGAATAAGACGTTTTCTTTGATAATGTAAGATAACACTGCGTGACCTATTGATATACATATAGTCAGTTTGAGTGTGTGTTACTTTAAGGTTGTGTTTAAAGACCAGCATTTATTGCATTTTTTCAATATACTGTATAGAAACATTAATTACTTTTTGTATCCTTTCTTTTTCTTCTCCTCCAACATGTTATGCTACTCTATCAAATGTCACTAAATCCAGATTGGCTTTACAGTATATGTGGAAAAACTTCTTGGCAATATTTTTATAAATATAATTGTACCTTTTATATTCTGACTGTCTGTTGTAACCTTTCCTATACCTAAAACAATGGTCTGGGGCCATAAACTTCCCAAAGCAGCCCCCAGTCAAAATGATACTTTGTGTTTATTNTTTGTGCATCAATAACTCGTACCATTGACATTTGTTTTCCTTCAACATGGAAGCCTGCAAGAATAAGACTGTGAGCCTCTCCGCTCACACAGGGTTCAAATCAGGACGGAAAGAGCAGGTTGGTGAAACACAGGCGTTTATTAACTCCAAACAATAACATGCGCGGGTCTCAAACGTTGCCCGGGTGGGAAACTTCACAGGTCCTTTGGCGACCTTCCAGGATCCCGCCTACTGCATAACCGACCAGAACCAGGTTACGACATGCTTTTCTTCCTGCACTGATTACCTGATTCCGATCAGCTGTCTGGCCTCCGGCCGAGCCCCTCCCTTCACTCCAGCAGCCAGCGCCCAAACCACACCCCGCTGCCACAAAGACGTTTTCTTTGATAATGTAAGATAACACTGGGTGACTTATTGATATACATATAGTCAGTTTGAGTGTGTGTTACTTTAAGGTTGTGTTTAAAGACCTGCATTTTTTCAATATACTGTATAGAAACATTAATTACTTTTTGTATCCTTTCTTTTTCTTCTCCTCCAACATCTTATGCTACTCTATCAAATGTCACTAAATCCAGATGTTTATGACCGGACCCCATTTTAGGCTTTACAGTATATGTGGAAAAACTTCTTGGCAATATTTTTATAAATATAATTGTACCTTTTATATTCTGACTGTCTGTTGTAACCTTTCCTATACCTAAAACAATGGTCTGGGGCCATAAACTTCCCAAAGCAGCCCCAGTCAAAATGATACTTTGTGTTTATTATATGATGGCTCCTTAGGATTCAAGACTCATGGCAATACATCACTCGGAGGACAGACATCTTTCACCGCCATTTTTCTGCATCACTTTGTTCGTTTCATGAATAAAATATCAAAGTGGGGTCTGTTTTCAGAACTTGTTGTGTTGACACTTGGGCTGTCTCTTTACCGCCCACTCTCGCCCTAACTCTGGATGCTTCTGGCAGTCTGCCTCCATTTGAAATGCTAATAGATATCTCGGTGTAAAACTTTCTTCTTTCTCTGTGCCCACAGACTCCTCTCTCTTATGGCCTTCCTTCATAGATGTATCACCTTTCCACAAGCAAGGGCTCACTTGGCAGCATGGAAATGGCTCTAATAAAAGATCTATCTGGTGCATATACTGTAGAAAGTGGTTGCTCATTCACCTCTGCCAGACTAAATTACAGTGTGTCAGATTCAGTAAACTACATTATTTGATTTAGAGTCTGTCATATACAGT